TAATCCTAGTATAAATATGAAGCTTTTCTATACATGGTTTCTTGAGTTAATTTTCACCTCTCTTTTTTTAAAAGGCCATGCAAAATATACAAAAGTAAGAAAAAAATACTAATATATTCTTTATAGTCTCTATGTTCTTTCTTTTTTTTTTTAAGTCAACTTCAGATACAAGAAAAAAAACTATTATGTTGAAAAACCAAAAACTTAGAAATTTATATATATTTATATAAAATAAAATTATTTACAAATAGTTGTACTATTTATAAATTATGAAAATCACAACTATTTCTGTTTGCCCAGAGGAAAATAAAATTTATTACTAATGAATAAAAACTACAAAAGGAAAACCAGAAAGAGAAACACCAATGTTACGTTGCAAAAGTTGCAACTGCCACGGTGCCCGTAAGTCACCGTTAACAAACTGCTGAATAATGCATGGGCTGAGCTACATGTGTGGGCCCCCCAACCCCAACAAAAACGTGGGAAAAATGATATACATGGACCTAGTATGGATTTTTCATATTTTGCAGTTTGTGCATTCTCTTTTTTTATATTCTACATTTTTTATTTAATATTTTAAACTTTAAACTTATTTCAATCTTACTTTTTAGTTCATATCTAAAATTTAATTTTTTAACTCAAAGCTTAGTGAATATTAACTTATAATTTCACTATACCTAAATTTAATATTATTTATTAATTCTTTAAAAAATAAAAAATAATTATTTTGACTAAGCTAGACTTGTGTTATCTTTATTCCAATGCCAGTCAGGGATCAGTAAAAAAAGATAATAAAGAAGAAAAATTTAATATCCAATAATAAATTTATTGAATGCATTTCACTGGCTTTATGTGTTATCAAGATTGAATTAAAATAAAAAATAAAAAAAAGAAGTAAAGATAAATAGTGAGTTTAAAAGAGATAAAAAGTTTTTCCAAGATCAAGGGACCTGAACCTGACTGTTGCAGCAAAAGAGCAATCATTATCCATAGAGAGAGATTTAAATGTGAAAATCTTTTTGAAAAGATTTATTATTACGGAAAATCCTCCAAACATTCTTAGCCAGCAGCATTGGATTATATTAAAAGCCTCAATGTTTTTGACATTTAATCTAATTATGGTGAATCTTATTATGGTGCTCAATGACCCCCAGAAAAGACCAGCAAACTTCATATTGATTTTTTTTTAATACATGGCTATGAAAAATTGTATATAAAGACTAAAATTTAGTCATGTTTAATGTTAAGAGGCTTCTATAATTTTTCGGGGATTCATCGAAGATCGCAATATCAAAGTTGTTATGTATTACCTGGTGAGTCAAGAGATCAATGTATCTATTTTCTTCTCTATAAACATAATCAAAGGTGGTCACCTAATCCTTCATAGTAAGATTTATGATTTTCCTGAGAATGTCAGATAAATGATGACTCCCAAGGTAGTTGTTACTAATAAGAGACAATGTCTCCATCGAGTTAGAGTGGACATTAACTTTGGATAATTCCCATAAGTTCTGCCGCTATGCTAGAATGACAGCAAAGAAATTTTGAAAATTCTTTAATCCAATCTCCCTTATCATTTTTGATGATGCCTTTACAAGCGACAGCATCATTAATATTGACAGAGCCACTGTATTTAGTCTAACCCATCCAAATTTAGGTGAACTACATTTGACATCATATGTAGCATCTCTTTTATTCAATTGCTTGAATTTTCATTATAAACATACTCTGGAAAACTGTCTCAAAGGCAAGGGCAGACCAAAAAAGAAGATAGAGTACTATGAATAAGAGTCAAACGGCCAGCTTGACATAACATACCCATGAATTACCATGCCCATTGATATAAGCACCTAGATCATTATTTGTAAATTAAATCGACCTTGCCAGGTTGACCCTCTTAAATCGGTGAACTAATCATTTCGCTAGTTCGGTTGATTGAGAAAATCAATCACTTATGACTTGACTTCAATCTGGCCAAATCCGGTGAGTTAATGGATTGACTTAGGTTAGATTTTAGTATTTTTATTTTTCTTTGTTTTTCCTTTCTTCTTCTATATTGAACTCTAAATTAAATATAAATTTTTTAATTAATAATTTTAATATTATTGTACTTTATTATTGTCAAAAACTTATAATTATTATTTTTATAAGGCGTGTATAAGATTTTATGAATAAATTTTTCATTTACTCAAGAAGTAAAGATTTTTATTTTAAATATTATAGTTTTTTATATAAATATTTTTATATATTTAATTAAATTATATTATTTTACTTGTAATGGGTTTGATTCTGAGTTGACTCTTAGATCACTAACTTTGAATCATTTACTCAAGTGATTCGATAATCAATTCTATGTTCAACACCTTGACTAGATGCTTTCCCAGACAAGATTTGAATTTAACGTTCATTAAATGGGAAAATGACATTTCAAAACATGATAGGCAGAGGGACAGGACACAACATTAGATTCATTAAAATTTATTTGTTGTCCAGAGATGGTACTATATCGATGGAGCAGAGCTTTCATAATATGACAGTCCTGTTCCGTGGCTCGACAAAAAAGGATAGTGTCATCAGCATATATTAAATGATTAATTGAGACATTATTTTTGGAAATAGCAATCCCTTGCCACCACCCAAACCTTTCAGATTGATGAATGCTCTAGTATTGTTTATAAATTATTTTTAATATATTTTATTAAAATTAAAAAAATTTAAATTTTATTAATTTTTTTAAATTTAGTATGTTTTCACTTTTATTCTTAATAAATATTCTTAAATTTTATTATTAGTATTTTTATTTAAAACATTTAATAAGAGCAAGAATATAAAGATGAGTATTATATTAAAAATTGGCAAGTGTTGTATAAATAAAACTAATTTTTTTCCCTCTACTCTATAAATAGGATTAGAAGAATTGTAAGTTGAAACATAAAATAAATAATTAAATAAGGAGAAGGAGTTCTCCTGGCAATATAACCTGGTAAGAAACAATACTAATACATTGATATATCAATTGAACCCATCGACCAGGAAAATTCATTTTTTTGCCAAGATCTTTTTTAGAAACGGCCACGAAACTGTCATAAGCCTTTACAATTCCAACTTGATAGCACACCAACCAATCTTATATTGTGAATTTTAGTCATGCATTCAACGACCAAACAAATATTATCGGAAATCAAGTGGCCCCTTAAAAATGCATTCTGGTATTAGGAGTAATGTAATTGTCCAAAATTAATTTGAGAGGATTATGTTGCACAAAACTTTCGAAAATAATTTAAAAAGGACGAATTGCAAAGATTTATAAATCAAAATCTTTAAAAGAAGAAGGATGATCACATTTGGGAATCAAAGTGATAAATGTGCAATTGATCAATTCCTTCAAAATGAAACCACTTGTTTAATCATTTTGATGATATCATACCTTGAAAGATGCCAATAATGGTGGAAAAATTAGCATGATAACCATCAGGACCTGGTGCACAATCCGCTATAATCTGAAACATAGCTTCCTCAATTTCTCTATCTGCAATGGGATTTAAAAGCATATGTTGATTGATGATTGTCCAAGAGAGTGGGCAAGTTAATGTGCCTAAGAGTGTCTTTCATTATATCAAGGTCAATGTCATCATTATAGTAAAGGTTAACGAGCATATTGAACCCTAAACTATTACTCAAAAAAAGCATCCTAAACTCTAGACTTTTAAAATGAGTAAACTAGCCCGTCACATGTTAAGAGAGATTAATGTCACGTCAGCCTTTGATTGAGTCCCACAAAATCAAAAATAACTGTGGTTATATGTAAATTATAACGGCAGGGGTGATTTGTATCTAATTAATAGTTCAGGGCTCAGGATTCTCATTTTAGAAGTTGAAGGTTTAGAATGTTATTTGAGTAATATTATTAGGGTCCGAGATGTGCATTAACCCTTATATTAAAGTCAAAATCCTTCTGAAAATCATCTTGTTTCTGAATCCAACAACTATGACTGTCCTTGAATTTGTAATATTCTGCCATTGACTCTCCAGTGATTAAAAGATGTATCTCGGTCACCTTATACTTGCCATTGGAGTCGAGACTTTTGAGCCCACATGCTTAATTTCCTCACAATAATACCTTGTGTTATTCATTTATATTTGTAAATATAAACGACGAGAGAACAAAACAAATGGAGAATCCAAATCCATATTTTAGACCTTTCATAATATAAGAATATAATCTGAAATATTAGCCAGCAATAAGAGGCAATTTAAATAATTTGACGAAGACTACATATTTAATTTTTCTTTCGAAGAACATTTTGAATAAAGATAGAGATTAGGATATATATATTTTTAATTTAATTAAACTTAAAATATTTTCTAATAAGGGTCTTTATTTGAATTAATAATTACACGGTTAAATATTTAAATAATCTTCGTATGTAATCTTCGACCTCTAATACACCCTAACTAATTTACCTGCAAAACTCGGTGCCTACACACACACACACACTATCGCTTACTTGGTTTGTTTAAAGAACGATCACTTTTATAACATTCTCTGCCATTATTTCTACCTTCAACAATCCATCGATATCATTCATATTTTCCAGAAAGCTTCACACTCCATAGTCCATATCATCTCCTTCATTCATCATCAGTATCAGTCTATTCTGTCGATTGTACGCTTCTGCCGCACAACAACAATAATTAAACTCATTCTCGGCATATTCTTCAGGTAAAGTTCTATATTCTTCTTGGTACTTCCTTTCATTTCTGGGCATCAAATCTCTCCCTTTCTCTCTCTCTCTCTCTCTCTCATACATACATCGGTTTGTTCAGAGCGTGTTTGCATTTCTTAATAGGAACTTATCTCATATATAATCTTTTCATTTCTTGATGTAAAGCCTTATTTTCTTTTTAGTTTGTATCATTTCTTGGTGTAACGTAACTCACCACAAGATATTTCATTTTTGCATCTGTGAAGGGATTTTCTCAATTCATTTAAAGAAAATATGTCGACAAGTCTTGAAAGAAGTGATGACAGTGTTCAAATAGTAGATGTTTGGAAAGAGAACATAAAACAAGAGTTCGACTTCATTATTGATGCGATAAAGATATATCCATATGTACCCTTGGACACAAAATTCTCAGGTTCGCTTTTCACAGTAAGAAACTATGGAGCAATGACTGGAAACCTGGGACTGGCCAAACTGATTCAAGTGGGTCTCACGTTGTCCAATGAAATGTTGGAGATTGTTGGAACCGACAGGTAGATTTAAAGTCTGAGTTGTGCCAAGGACACTGTCCTTAAGAGCTATTCCATCACACTAGATTGTTCGTACGGCAGCTCTCCAGGATTAAACAGATTCATCCTGCAAATTAAGCAGGGTTACAGAACAACAAAGACCAACAGAATATACTCAAGCAACACAATACATAGGAGGAGCTTGAGAACTCTAGAGCTTGGCACAGGATACACTGCACTCCCTGGGCTATATATAGTCACAACCATAAGGTCCCTTAATAAACCATCAAACATCAGTTTTAAAATAATTAAAACAAATTAAGCCTCATAACTTGGGCGGTTTCGAACATTAAAATTTTTAAATAAATATTAAACCCTTTTAATGTTATTAAATCAAATAAAAGGTGATTAAAATCTTTCAAAGCTATAACTCCAAGTTGGTAAAAATAAGATTTAAGTAGGGGTTATATAAATCAATATTATTAAATTATAACAATTTCTTTTGAAATACCCATGAATATTTTATAATATCCAACACGAAAACGGTCAATGTCCCATGATCAATGGTCAACGCGTCTGCTGGCAATTCAACTTCTGTGAGTTCAATCCAAAAAGGGATCCAAAATCCAGAGACATGATCGACGCCCTGAGAGACAGTGGCATGGATTTGGAGAAGAACCAGAAAGAAGGCGTGAAATACAGCGATTTTGCAGAGCTTCTGATGTCGTCTGGGCTTGTAATGAGGGACGAGGTTTCATGGATTACGTTTCAAGGTTCGTCACATTTCGGGTACTTGGTGAAGCTGCTGACTGCAGCTGGGAAGAAGAATCTTCCAGAAACAGAACAAGAGTTCATGGAGATTCTCAATTATTGTTTCCTAATTTTTTATGATGTCAAGCACCTGATAAGATCATCCACCAACGTAAATCTGCATCAGCATGGTGGTGGTGAACTGGAAGATGTTGCCAGGTTTCTGGAGGTGGAGGAGAGAGTTGGACCGGCTGCCGCAGCGGACCAAGCTGGGTCTGATAGTTTGCTTACGAGTATTGTGTTCAATAAACTGAAACATGATCCTCAGTACTTCAATGGAGCTATACCAGAGACATGTCGTGGTTTTTTGCCTGGCTTGGCCGGTATTCAACTTTAGCCAAATGTAACTGAAGGAGACAAGTATAGTTTTGAATTAGCCTCAGATTCGTAATTGCGGAGTTTTGTCTGGGCGGGTCAGTTTCATATTCGTAATTGTGAATGAACTGCAGTGACTTGGGATAGTTATGTAGAAAAATTTCTTCTTCTGTTCTTGTGTTGGAGAAATTATAACTGGCTAAATCCCAAGTTGAAGAATTAATGAAGAGAAGACAAAGACTAATCTTTGTTTTGTCCACCCTATCTTTTCACTCTATATTTTACATGTGGCGTGCTCTTCCGGTCCAAAATATAAGGGAGAATAACATATAAACAGCTTTTAATAATAAACCGTATATTAATAAAATTATTATTCTTATAAAATATATATTATTTTTTTCTTTTTATCTTTTGTTTCAATTTATGATGAGTAAGAGAAATGTAATAAATTTACAGACAGCAGAATAAAATAATTTTTTTTATTTTAAAATATTAAATTATTTATATTTTGAATTAAGATTAAATGGACAAAATGCTTATGAGTATAGTGTTGTTTGCTTAGACTTTTGGTGTCGATCGAGTTCATTCGCTGTGAGCGGCTAACCTTCATTTTCCCCCCACTTTCTATTGTAAGAATTTTTTTTTTTTTAAGCCAAAGAAAATTCGATAGGTATCATGTGATCAAACTACAGTAATATAAGCAGAGGAACCAAAATATAACCAACAAAATGGATATATATTTTTTTATCTCGATATGTAATCGATAAATAAACAATAGTAGATGATAGATATCAAAATACATATCCCTTCTAATAAAATTGAATATTTGCTCAATTATTTGAATATTTCAACAAAGTTTTTCTAAAAATTTAAGTTTCTATTCTTAAAAATTGTTTTATTTAAGAAAAATATTGGAATAAAAATCTCATATATATTTTTGAAAATGTTTCATATTTCTTTAAAAATCTTCAACCTATAACTCAAGAAAATTTTAAATTGTAAGTTATGATTACATGTTTGTTAAGATAAAATGGTTAAGATACTTATCATAAGAAAAGTAGTTAAGATTTTTTTTTTGGGCCAAAGGAATTTCATCCAATAGAGCTAAGGCTAAAAAGAAAAAAGAAACCAAAGCCAAAGTCAGGAATACAAACGCAAATAAATACATGAAAAGGAAACAACACGACGAAAACAACAGAAAGATGGCAATTAAAGATCCACATTACCCCACGCCCGTTCATTCAACACCCTTAGGAGGTCTTTGACCAGCAACATCACCAGAGTCTTTAAACAAGATACAAGCTAGAGGATTCCATTTCCCTTGAAGCTATTCCTGCTAGATAATTAGCAGCACAATTCTCATCACGACGAATGAGAGAAAAAGAGATATTATTCAAAGAGTCCAGCATGTTCCACATGTCAAGAACCAAGGAATGATACATCCAGGGACACTTAAGAAGATTTCTGCTAAACCAGACCTTGTAAGCCTCAGCGCAATCTATTTCAATAATGCAGCCCATACCAGTCCACGTACAAGTCAGTTTTAAGGCCTTTTTCACCCCTTGTCTCTCTTTCCGCAAGGCTGAATCCGCATTAATATTTCTTTCCAACCTGCGATGAACCTGTCCCGTGAGTCCCAAGAGCTACAATACCTACTCCATGTCCCTTACAAAAAGCCCCATCACAATTTAGTCTAATAACTCCCTGGGGAGGTCGTACCCAACATCAGGATTCTGCTGCATGGTCATACCCTTGTCCCTTACAGAAAGCGCCATTACAATTTAGTTTAATAGATGCCTGGGAGGAGGTCGTACCCAGCATCGGGATTCTGCTGCATGGTGGACTGGTGTCTGTGGAGTTAATAGACCATGAGCTTGCCAAAATTCATTTAAACCAACATTTGTAGTTACAATTAGGCCGCTAGGGTCAGGTGGGTCATCATCAAATATCATCTGGCATCGAAATTTCCAAATCTGGTAATAGAAAAGAGCCACATTTGCTTTGCCATACTCGTTTAGGGGAGATTTTGTGCACATTATATTATACATACAGTCCCTTATATTCCTGATCAAGAGGGGGCCAAGAAGAAATCATTAGTAGCTAGGGCAGGATTGAGGAGGCGCCATATAAAATGACGTACCTTTGGGGTACTTATAAATCATATTTTTTATATATTTTTATTCTCTTCACTAGGTCTTTTTATTGATGAATCATGACTAAATGAGATTAATTAAAATATATTTTATTTTATTGGTCACCTCATATTTTGTGGGAATTAATGGATTAAATCTTGAAAATTATGATTGAATTCTTCATTTAATATTTTTGCACATGTGGCCATTGAATATTATTTAATTTTGTGCAGACTTTTGGAGCTAATTAAATTGAATATCATTAATGGAAATTTGTTGGGCTTGAAGTAGACTCAATTTTATTATCTCAAAATGTATTTTCTCTTGGGTAAATTTGTATAAATAGTAATTAGGGTTATTAAGGGTGTTTTTGTCTTTTTAATTAAAATTAGATTTTGGTTAATGGGAAGCACATGCCTGCCGCCTCAGTAGAGTTAAGAGGGAAGATAAAGAACGAAGAGGGAGGGAGTGGAGAAAAGGGTAACAGCGATGAGGAAGCGGAGGAAAGAGAAAAGAAATTAGGTCCGCTGATTTAGCGCCGATGGGAGCTTCGGCTACCTCCTAATCTTCGTCTCATCTACAGCGTCCCTCTACCATTCTCTTTTTCCTTCTATGGGTCTTTGATTTTTTGGTATGTAATCAACTTTGAACCTTGAATTGATGAAGACTTCGGCCATTGGAGCTTAATGGAGCAGCTGTATTGAGCATTAAATTCGGTTCTATCTCTTCTATTTTTCTGATTTTGTGCTTTCTTGATTATACCGATTGGATTGTTAAGAATGCATGGAATTAGGATTAGATTGATTAATGTAATATAATTATTAGCCACTGTAGTTGATAAATTGCTTGGCTATGAATTAGGTTTGATGTCCTAGAATGGGCATTCTACTCACTTGCTTGTGAATTATGTTCATTTAAAGCGCTGGAAATTACTTGGCAGTTGAGATTTTAATTGCTAATCATATTTCTAGTAACTAAGGCCCTGAGAGATCTCTTAGGCATATTTTTCTGTCTTGATTCACTTGAAAGCATGCTCTATCCAGGTTGTTATTTATTATGCATTGGCTGAAATTTTCATCAAGGATAAGGAAGGATGTTGATTATATGCTGCTTTAGTTGTTAGTTAGTAATTTAATTTTTTGCATTTTAGTTTTAGTTAAAAAAAACCACTTTAATTCATAAGCTTTGTTGATCGAATTTACTAAGATTAATTGGCTAACTCAGTAGCTTTTAAGAAAGATGACCTAGGTTGCATTTTACTACAAAATTTGGTTTTATATTTTTATTTTGATTCCATTTGACAGTGGGACCAGGTACATTGAGGCTCCAGATGACATTCCAAACCTTGTTATCTACAAAAACCGAAAGCCCTCCTGAGTCTTTATGCGCTTGAATTCCCTTTGATAACCCTGCCTAGTGTTATATACACCAATTTTTACTAGTGGTCAAATAATCCTATTCGGTCTACGCGTAGTAGATAGTGGAATAGTTTTGATGAGCTTAAGGACATCCCATCAACAACTTCTTGAATAGGCAAAAGATTCCATTTCCTGTTCGGTTTTAATTTATAATCTGGGGAGGCAGGGAACCAAGGATCCTTCCAAACCTAAATATAATTACCATTGTCTGCCTGCCAGTAGAGATCCTTTTCGAGCAACTCACAGCCTGTTGATATACTGTCCAAAACCTGAGAGGCTTTGAGTCCTTTCTGCTTATTCAAGAATGAGCAATTTAGGAAGTAAATAATCTTGATGATGCGAATCTAGACATAATTCAGATTGTTTATAATTCGCTACACTGTTTCTACCAATAGAGCAACATTAAAACCCATTAAGTCCTTGAAACCTAGCCCTCAATCAACCTTTGACTAGCACAGAAAACTACAAGACTTCTAATGGATTCCCCCACCATTAGCATTATTATCCTAGAAGAAATTAGGAATCTGAATACTGTCATAGGAAACACTAGGATGGCATTGATCACTGCCTTAATCATTCACTTCCCTCTCAGCAAAAGATAACATTTTCTTTTTCCAACTCAAGAACTTCTTCCCCATTTTATCCCTCACATATGCCAAGGGTGCATTTTTTTATCTTCCCTAGAGTACTTGAAGTCCTAAATAAATCCCAGGATTTTCCACTCCCTTGATCTGCAAAGCATCTACTACCTCCTCCCGTACCATATTCTTGGTGTTAGTTGAGAAGAAGACATTTGATTTCTGAAAATTAAGCTTCTGTCCTGAGGTGGCACAATATTGCAATAAAATATTCTTAAAGAGATGACAGTTGCGGGGGTAGGTGGATTTGAATTAATTCAATAATTGAAATATTAATTAGTTGATTAATTTTATTCCAATCACTTGTAAAATAAATATGAACAAAAAAACCAAAATATAGAAGAAACACAAAGGTTATTAGTAAATAAATAAAAAATAACAAAGATTAGTCTTGAGGATCATCTCAATCTTTGAATAAACCACAAGAAATTAACAACATTTAACAATAATGTTCCAAAAAATTAACGTCAATAAAGTTCCAAAAATCGTTACAAGGACTATGGACATCCTAAAATGAAATGACTTATAGTAATATACTTTTACAATTCAAAGAGCTACAAAAGATTCTTTTTTTTTTGTATTTTATTGCCTTCAGCATTAGTAATTTTTACCTATTTTGTAGCTATAATTTATCATGAGCTCGGCTAGGAGAGGTATTTCCTTATATGCAAATAGCATCACATGAGGAAGCCTACAGTTTAAGTGATTGTGTAGAACAAATTGGATATATAGATTAGGATTGCAACTATAGTTGAAAAACTTGCCCAAATTACTGTTCTTAGCTGCATCAAGGGTGAAACCACCACCACGACGATGCTTTTCAAGGCAAATATC